TTTCACTTGTTTCGATACAATAACAATCACAAAAACAATAAAATAGAAAGACAATAAATTAACATAAATACAAAAAAATAATAGATAATAAAATTACAAAGATCAGAAAGTGTTAGTATAGCTTAATATGTATATACAAATATAGATACAATAAATTTAGATAAATAAAAAAAAAAGAAATACTAGTTATTAAAGCTCAAAAAGTGGAAGATTTAGTATATACAAATAGAGAATGCTGGATCTAGGAATTTTCAACTATACGAATTATTGATTGCCGAGTTTGTTAAGTAGGTATGATTTCAAATATTTTTTGAGTTTATGCGGATTAGTTATTACTCTTAATTCTAGTAGAATCGTATTAAACAATTTTGGGCTTATATAATAGGAATGCTGCCCAAGTGATTTTTGTATATGGCGAGTTATTTTTAATTGCTTATTACAAACAGAGAAAAAAAAAAGAAAAAGTAGCGTATAGACAATATAACTGCTGAAACATTAAAAGAAATTCGTACAGAACTTTCTTCGCCACTCTACTTTATTATTAATCTAATTATAGAAAATGGAATTTGTCCAATAGAATTCAAGTCTGCAGTTATAAAACCTCTTCATAAAAAGGGAAATAAACAAACTCTTACTAACTACAGACCTGTTTCTACAATAAACAATTTCTCAAAAATGTTTGAAAAAGTAATAAAGATAAGATTAGAATCATTTTTAAACAATAATAATATTTCTAAAAAACAATTTCGGTTTCGTACAGGTATTTCTACAGAACATGCAATATTAGAATTAAAAACAAAATTATATAAGGCTGTTGACTGCAGCTGTCCGGCCATAGGGGTATTCCTCGATCTTGCAAAGACGTTCGATACTGTGGACCACTCGCAGCTGTTGGATTCTTTACAGGATGTGGGAATACTAACAGTTGCCCAAAAACTGTTCGAATCTTATCTAATAGGAAGAAAACAATGTGTTAAAATAGATAATAGTATAAGCTCGGAAAGGGTTGTTCAATGTGGCGTTCCTCAAGGGACAGTTCTTGGTCCCATTCTCTTTACAATATACATTAATAATCTACTTATACTTACAACTTCTAGAGAAATAACAAGCGTTGCTGATGATACTGTCATCTTTTATACTGCAAGCACCTGGAATGATCTGAAACAAAAAATTGAAAAAGATATAATTAATATTATAGATTGGTTTAATTACAAATTGCTTACAATAAACTTCGATAAAACTATGTTTCTACCTATAACAAGCTATAAAAATAATCTTCCTAATTACAACAAGCTAGAAATGAACAATCACGGTAACTTAATAAATATTAAACAAACAGAAAAAGTAAGGTATTTAGGAATAACTATTGACAACCATCTCCGTTGGGACTATCATATCTAGTGTTACAAAAACTCTTAAGTCATTACTAGGTAAATTCAAATTTTTAACAAACATTTTGGACTTACCTCTTCTTAAATTACTATATTATGCATTGGTTGTTCTCGCCTCTCCTATGAAATTGTAGGATGGGGAGGAGTAACATATACTCATCTAAAAAAGATAAAGTAGACCAAAAATTATTTTTAAAAATAATACTACAGAAAAATAGAACTTTTCGAATGCTCTTTATAAAGAGGCAGAGATCCTAGACTTAAGGCAAACATTTTTCTTAACTAAACTGTTTATTAACTAAAGAAAAATATTCGTTGGATTTAAAATACATATGTCATTGTCATAAAACTAGAAGTAAGGATTCCAGAAAATTAATGATATCAATGGATTGATTTGTGCTGTCTGGGTAATTTATTACATTTTTTGCAGCACCTTTTTTAAAAATCGGTATTACGACAGTTTCTTTTAGACAGGATGGGCATTTACCATTCTCCATACAAACATTAAAAATATGTAATAAAGGCTCTTCAATAAAGGGTGATATGAATTTTAAAATATCACTTTTAATTCCATCGATCTCCATTGTATTTTGTTTTTAAATTATTTATTATATTTCTTATTTTTTTGCATCAGCAGGGTACAACACAAAACTATTTGGGAGACATATTTTTGGAGGAATATACTGAGGATCTTGTATAAATTGTTTTGCTAGAGTTTCTCCTGTTTTACAAATATTTTATTAAATTGATGAATTATTTGGGTTGGATCTATTAGTAAATTTCCCACTTCATCCCTTATCGTTTTTTATAATTTTGCTAATTTATTTTTATTTATGAGATTTTGATAGTATGTATATTTGCACTTTTTAATTAAATTTGTTATACTATTTCTTACATTTTTGTATGCACTTTTTCAATTTTTATTATTAGGATAGATTTTACTTGTTTGTGTAGTTTATTTTTATTATGTATTGTTCTGACCGGTTCATTAGTTATCCAGGGTGAAATTTTTAACTTTTTTCTCTATACCTTGACGTTTTTTGTATATTGATTTATGTGTGATGTTATAATGTCCACGAATATTTTTGTTACAGGGGCTTCCGTTATGAGCCCGTATCTTGGTAGAAGGGCTTAAAAAATATTTTCATGTTATTTTTATGTGCTTTATCGGATTTCGGGAGATTCCCCGTATATTTCGGGAAACCCTGTATACATATTTAGTTTGGGTTTTACATGGCATACAGAAAACATACCTATAAATTATTTTTAAATAACTGCCAATGCTACCTAAGCTGTATATAATTGTTGTTGTTTACAGCGTACTTACTTAATTTTTATTTGACGAAGAAGAAAAACACTGCTATTAATTGCATTGCTGTGATTTCACCGGAACTTGTCAAAGCATTGACGAGATTCTTCTAAATGTTGTCATCAAGGTTGTACATTTTATTTCTTTTGACTAATTATTATTTGAAGAATTAGTACTTAATTGAAGACATCCGCATGTTTCTAAACAAACATTGTAAAATTATAGAAACATATTTCATAACTTGTATAGATATAGGAGTCTTTTTTGATAAGTGCCTGAAAATGATATATTACTATTAGTCGATTTTAATAAATTTTAATCTCTAAAGAAAAAAATGTGAATAAAAGGTTCTTCCACCACTCATAACCAAGACATTTACACCTTTTGGACAGATTGAGTAACTTCGAAACTAGCTGTGAACAAAAGACCGCTCTGTGTACAGACCTTCCAGGTCTAGAGCTGCCTGAATTGCTTAAAATTTCTTCTGTGGTTTGCTAGTTTTCTCTAGTTTCTAATATTTTTCTCTTTTAGGTCTTTATCAAATCTTTTTATCGGTCTTCTCACTTCATTTTTTTTTTTTTGTAGTTCCCAGGCACCTTTTCTAAAATTATTTATTCTTATAAGTTAGTACTTGAATGTGTGACAATCCAAGGAAAGTCGACGTACCTATGAAAGTAAAAAAAAAAACTCCGCGTATTTGCATACCATAGCTGGAAGGCGCTATATCAATCATTAAGAGGTATACACACTGACTCCTTATCAAGTAAAAATCATGTAAAGCCATCGGTCTCGAGCCCGAGTCTATGGATGTCGGGCTCGTTAAAGATCCCTACCTCTGGTTAAAACACCAGATGATTCGGATAAATATCTGGTATTTGGGGGTAGCGAACACACCAGCGTCGGTATATAAACCTCGTAGTTAAAAATAGGCCGAAGTTAAATAAATTATTAACAACAAAGTGTTTTAGCCTTTGTACTCTTCTTCTTTTTATTAATTTCAACGACTGATCATTATGAGTTCATTCTCCTCTTTTATCCATAGTTCCAAAGATCTGTGTTAATACTTTTATTTCCCAGAATTATAGTTTTTGTTGATTTATCTTGTCCATGATCCCTGTCTAGCATCCGGTCAGAAGAAACATAAGTGTTTTGGATTAAATCGTTATATTTTGGGAAAAATATTCTCCAGGTCAATAATGTCAATTATTAATGGAACATCCTGTATATTTGGGTTAAGAAAGAAAAGTAATAAAAGCAAAAAAATAATATTAAAATCGCGGAAATGGCTATTCACTGACATCACCAAGGTTATCAGTGAAATAGTCAAGAAGAGCTTGTAGAAAGTGAGTTTTAAAACTCGTATTTCAACCTAATTTCCTGAACTTATCCAGCATATTTTCGACAATACTTTTATATTCTCTTTGTTCTTTCCTTGACACTTAGTCACAGAAATTGTTCTTCCAGAGCGGGGGCTCAACTTTAATGTCCGCTCTTCCTCTCTTAAACTTAGTTTTTAACGGTGGCATATGAAGGACACTGACTACCTGTGAGAAATTTTTCTTTACTAATTTTTATTTGTTATTGGAATATAATTAGGAATTACTGACCTGTTGACCTTACATAATAAACAACAACTAATATCATACTATTAGCAGGTAGACAAAACTAAATAAGTATTAAGTATTTATAATTTTCCTCGGACTGTCGCCATATCCGCCATTGTGTAACTTTCATTGATGTAATAATTATTATAACTTGTTTATGGATGCCCTACTTCATATAAATTCATGTCAATGTAAAAAAGTGTTTTCACGCTTTAAGGCAATCATTTTATCATAATTATTACTGGAGAAATAACTACACGATATTTAGATAAATGAATCGTTTTTATAAAATTTGATAAAGCCAATTTATTTTGAATATAGTATTAAACTTCATTCAATACACAATTTAACCTAACAAAATAATAAGTAACTAACTTGATAAAAGTAAATACAATAGAAATAATAAATAATTTTAATTTCTTACCAATTTTATAATTTTTCTATTTTGTTTTTGGAAACAAAACTAATATGACCATAATAGATTGGATTATCTTAAATATTTTATATTTTGTTAAAAAGGTACAAGGGTGTAACTTTAGTTGTACTTAAAGCATATTCATAGTATATTTTGCAGAAGGAGTTATGTTAAGATGTATCCTTTTTCTTGCTAGTATTTTAATAAACAATAATCTAAAATTTGGTTAACTCGAGTTATTGTCTCTGAAATAAAGCACATGTTCAATAATGAACAGATCCTCAGATTTTTTTTGCATTTATTTGTCTTGGTTCGCTGTATAAATTATCCAGTGTAATATTGTCAATGTCTATAGCTTCTCTTTTTTGTCTTCTAAAATTTATTTCCTGAAACAGCTCATATTCCTGCAAGGAAGTTTTAAAATTAATAACTCCAATTTCTTTGGTATATCTTAACCACTTCATGCTTCTCCAGCAAACGACATTCTTTGTTTCTGTTTTTTCTTTTTACCAGTTTTCCTTTTAATAAACTTTTAAAGTCAAAAAACTTCTCTTGGGCCATTTTAACTACTATAAATTTGTCTTTTTCTATTTTATTGTCTTCATGTGTTTCTTCTCTTTTTCTTTTCTTAGTAATTTTCTTTTTTTTGCCAGCTAATCTAACTAAATTATAGTGGTACATGAATGGGAAATGGACAATGTCACATTCCATGTGGGTGTGACCAGGGACTAAGAACTTGTGATCAATTACTTTTAAATTGTTATTTTTAGTTGAAAGATCCACCACAATTGTCACTGTATAAAGTTACGTGTTCAATCTCAGGTATTAAACTATTTAAAAATGCAAATAAACATGAAGCTATCTCATTAGCTCCGCGGCCTGCGATACCTTCATGCCACATGAAATGAGTTGATACCTTCGCAGAGTAATCATTAATAGTTAAATTGTATGTATGTAATAGTCTTTTATAAAATACAGTGCCAGTTGTTAAATACGGAGTTGGTAAATCAAATACAAGTAATTTTTGACTTTTACTGTCTGAGCACGTTAATTTGTCAATTCTTTTTGTTTCATAAGCAGCTTCAGCCTCATCATGATGTTCTTGTAACAGCTGCTGGAAATTTGTTTTTGCATCAGCATCTTGACAACTTTGAATCTTATTTTGAAAGATATCACAAGTTTTGCATATATCATTGCTTCGTTTTTTAAATTTCAAGCCTAATGCGTCGATGGCTTGAGAATAAACTTTAAACCACACCGGGTTAGATGGTACTTTCTGAGTGTACAACGTATACATCTTACTTTTCGTTAAGCCTGCTACTAGGTACTTTTTAGAAGTATGTTTTCTGGAGTATTGTGACTCATACGCAGGAAACCTGTTTATATGGTCATAGACATGTTGCATTACAGATATGGGAATTTTGTTTTTGGGCTCATGTTCGCCTCTACCACCAGACAACGGAATACCAGACAATAGTTTTTTTTGCTAGTAACGCTTGCTATAAATTAATTACTTTCATCAAAAATTGCACAAAAAATTCCTTACAACATTGAATTCTGTCTCCTCGTATTTCTATAAAGTATTTAAATGTTTTCTCTCTATTTTTTCACACTTACTAGTGTCGAGTCGGTTTATACTAGTTTTTTTTTTTATTTGGAATCTGAATTAATGAAGCAATATAGCTTATCCTTCTGTCATATTTTCCCATTTCCCAGTAATTTTTAAAAAGACCAAGTTTATTTTCCTCACTTATTTTGTCCTTGCACATTCTTCTGCATTTATCTTTAAATGGTCTAGGCTGCCTGGCTCTAATTGTTTTGCCTTTGTCGGTTAAATATTCTTTACCAATATGTCTTAAGGCCTTTCTATTTTCTCATTTTCCAACTTTCTTGTTAATTACTAATTCAATGCACCACATAACATTAATATAAATATTCTCCATATTGTAGGTACTTGCAATAGTTTGAAAATTAGTCATGCATTATTACTAACTTTATTTTGTTGCAAGTGCAATACGGAAATATTTATATTAATGTTATATGGTGAATTAAATTAGTAATTAAATTAGCTTTTAAATGAAGTGTCACACTTTATAATACGTCACAGGTTTTTTTATCCCGATAGAGGGCGCTAAAATTAAAAGTATCAAAATAAAGTCATATTTCTGACTTTCCCGTAAAATTACCTTTTTAATGATGTACCGTACATGATACATTCCTTATTTAAAATTAAGGGGTTGAAGAAGTGGAAGGGAGAGGGTTGACACATGACAGATGTCTGTATTGTAAAAATGTATTCAATTTGAAATAAAAATTGACCTATTTTAACATTTTATAAAAATCCAATGATTAATGCCGAAAAAAAGGATGAAACTGTTTTGAGTTACCCACTCTGTATATCCAAAATGGCTAGATTTATCAAATTAGTTTATAGAATAAAATCTGCTTAAAAATGTATATTTTACCAGATGCGCTATATAAGAAAGATCCTCCCATCGAAAAAAAAATATTGAGCGCAGCGCCATCTACATATTGACCTATTTAAAATTAATTTATATCTAAAACTGAAGCTCTCTTAGCGCTCTATAAACTGGCTTTTACAGAATTAAAATATCTCTATTACTTACCAAAATATCCGGCCTGGGAGTTTTTATTGGTACACCCTGTAGATAATTAACTGACGCCGTTTAACATAGACTTTGTTTGAAGACAGTATCTACGACCTTTTGACAGTTGTGATCTCCATGGGCGTATCAAATAGTTTTTTCAACAGAATTTACAAAAAATAAATTCTGCTATCTTTTATTCAAATGTAATAAACGATATTTATAAAAAAATAGATTTCAAATGATTACAGTGTTTATATTATTTATAGGTAGATACCAGTGAACTGTATTTTTAAAATGAAACAACAATTTCTATTGACAAAAGTAAGCCAAATTGAGCTCAAGCATTATGTCACAGGAGTATTAGCGCGATTTAATCATTTCATGTACTTTTTTTAAAATCAGGAGAAATTAGTATTTCTGAAACTCAACAATAAAAAAATCCAATTTACTCTTCCATTATATACCTAAAGGTGGTATTCTTAGCACTTGAAGTGATAAATTTCAAACATTTTACCATAAATAGGAATGTCAAAAAATGGGAATTAGGGTAGAGTTACATTTAGTTTTAAAAATATCAAAAAAATTATATGGCATCAGTCCACTATCTCAAAAAAAAAATGATGTGTGTAATAGATTTTAACATTTCTTACTCTAAGAATAAACAAACGTACTGTATGCTTTGAAAGTAATTCGTAATGGGCAGCCCTATCTATAAATTGTTAAAACTTAATGGAGGCTATTTAGTCTAATAGAAACAATACATTTCTTTACACAAATATATCAACTGGAAGACTAAAAAGGTTGAAGTGACGAGGCCAAGCAATGTCTGATGACTAATATTTAACAATATTTAAAATTCAAAAAAATCCTCTACAGAATAGACATTATATATTTTTAAAAATTTTTTGAGCTTATTCTTAAAATATCTTTTACAATTTTTTATGAAGTCCGGAAGTTTATTGTACAAAATGGGCCGTATACATTTAAGAGACCTTTTAGTTAAATGTAATCTATTAACTGGCACATAACTAGTTCCAAAATTATTAAATCTATATTTTGTTTAAAAACATATAAACAAATTTCTAGAACATATAATGAAACTAGTGGCAAAATATCATATTCTAAAAATATTGCTCGAAAAGAATCATATTTAGGAACTTTACCTATTATTCTTTTAGGATCTTCCCTTGAAGAATAAAAACGTCACCCGAATCATTTAGTTTTCACATAGACTAATCCCGTATATCAATCGACATGTTACTTGAGCTCAATAAATACAGATTAAATAGATACAAATTTCATGGTCTAAAACTTCTCTTACACTTCTAAACAAGTAACATATTAGTAATTCCAGAAAGTTGACGCTACTATCTTGCCAGTTCATTCCTAGATTGTATGCATGATGTCTGAATAACTTCCTCTATACATCTAAATCAGATAAATTTCGTCGGCTTACCAGCAAAATACACTAGGTCAGATCTTATGAAAAAGTCACTTAATGTATTTCTTCTGAATATGAAAATAATTAAAATATCCAAAAAAAGGTTGACAGCTGTGTGCACGTAGTTTAGATTCAAAAGGAAAGACTTGTATTTCGTGCAAAACTTTTTAATTAATAAATGCAAAGCGCTTTCGGCATTTTGCCATCATCAATGCTTATCTACAAAAATTGTGGATGTAAACTTACAATTTAAAAAATATAAAATCTGAATAAAACTTTTAAGTCAAAAGTTAAAATTATATATATATATATATATATATATATATATATATATATATATATATATATATATATAAGGTTATTTTGAACAAATTAACAATTAAAAGATAACAGAGTGACATAACCCAGTGTTGAGAATAGTGAGTGTGGGATAAGCCCTTAAAAATCATATCTGATCTCCAAAAGCAAGTTAGCTTGTGTGGAACTAAGGAATTATACCACCTTCACTATTCGCATTGAGTACAATTGAAAACAAGTCAACAAATAAGTTAAAATTTAAAAACATTTACATTTACTGTGGAAAATATATTGAAATTTAAATTTATAATACAATAGTTAATATGAAAAAGGTTAAACGCAAAAGGCCAAAGTAAAAAACTGAAGGTTTTTTTTCCTACATTATAATTATAAAAAAGTTTACCTACCGTTCACAAACATATCCAACAAGTTCTTAGTCATCCTCGCACCCAAAATTAGATATTTCAGGATATTCACAACTTGCTAAATCATAATTATTACTATTAGTAATATTTTCAAATTTAAATTTCTTTATACATTCATTTTTATTAATATTGTTTATCGGTGTTCACATGACAGTGGTGACAAGCGACACTTAAAGACGTTGACCTGTCAAATGTCAAGAGAGGAGGTGCGTTCATCTCAGTGTGGAACATGTTTCTCCAAGTGTGATTCGAGTAATTGGAGGTGGTTAAAGGAAATAAAAATTTGTTAGTATTGAATTTAAAGAAAATGTTTCAAATTTGATTTATTTGTTAGTTAAATTTAAATAAATGTTTCATATGAATTGATCTTTTTAATAATCCTTTTGATGTCAAGACAAAATAAAAAAATTACTCGCGTGATTCTGATGTGCCAGCCCGGGCTCTGCAGAACTTTTTTCAGAGAACCCAAGATGGCACGACTGAACCCGCGGTCCCTAGAGGTGAATCTGATATTTAGTCCTAAAAATTCTAAATCACTCAACAAGCGTACTCATGGTTGGAATGAGACAAAATAGAGAACAAAAAAGTTTTTTATCAAAAGAGTACAGTGTTTTGCTTGTAAACCAACGATTTGGAAGAAAAGTCGTAGGACATTCAAATCTGATTTTTTAAAAATTTAAAATAGCCCATATTAAAATTGGCTAGGTGCTTCATTAGTTATCGATCAAATTCAGTATTTTTTTAATCGTTTTATTTTATTTTAAATGCCAATTTGACAGAAATCTAATGTCAGTAGCCTACTTTGATATGGGCCATTTTAAGTTTTTAAATAAGCAGGGGCGTTTGCCCTACGAAGTTTTTTTCACAATCATAATATTAAAAAAAATTCCATATCGCCGTTACGGTGAAATATCGACGTAACTGCAAATTGGTAAAACTTTCAGGAGAGAAAAAACAATTTACTTTTCCTTTAATTAATTATTTCTAAAAGAAAGTTTTTATGATAATCGTAATTTTGTCAGAAAGTAGCTTGTTAAATAGGTAGAATAAAATGGAATATATGGCTTTTCCGTGTCCTTAAGGCGAAAATGAATTTTGATAGTTGCGTCTTTGTTTGACCAAAAATAAAAGATCACGTTAGGAGTTGTGTCCTTTTTATTACAACAAAAATACATAACAAAATAAAAAACTAAGCTTATAATTCACAAAAATTATAAAATGTAACTAATTATATCTTATTAGAGAATGAAACTTTAAAAATACTTATTTTAAAATGCAATCATAAAAGTATCTGTAGAATGTTGGTATCAGCTTGCTCTCTATTAAACTTTTTATATCCCTTTTTTATTTTCGGATAACTGCAAAGGCTTTGAGTAAGCTTTTTTAAGTGTAACATTTTTAATGTCTTGTAGTTCAGATCGACTAATTATAGCTTTGAAATTTAAAGAAGACCATTCAGCTTGCCCATAGCTAGTTTTATAGCGAATTAATTCTTTTCCTTTCTGAAACTCCAAAATCTTAACTTTATTTATTTTAAATTCATTACCATCAACATCTTTAGCAATGTTTAGGCCCATGTCGTCAAATAATGTGTTCAGATCATAGAAACTTTCAATTCCTATTTCTTTAACATCAATCTTATTTCCTTTTTTTTGCATCACAGATCATCGATACATATTGGTCTGGGATATAAATGGTTACAGGCTTTTTTGATCTCCTAATTTTTTTTTCAA